ATCACCTGATTAGTTGGTTGGGCATTATTGGCAGCGGTGAAGGGTGTCAGGAGTATGATTTTACGCAGCTTTTAGCAATCTTAAAGCGGTATCACGACGGGGGAACACTTAAACATGGGCTTCACACATTGTGCCCATGTGGGGATTAGAACCAGGTATTTGGCGTGACGAGCGACCAGGCCACCCCACCTCGTCTAGTATCGGAGACTTTGGAACATCTATTATGGATCGATATCGTGAATGTGTGTTTGATTAATCTTTTAGTGTGCATATATTTGCATGCTTCTATTTTCCAGGTTTTGGAACATGTCCAACAGGGCAGTGCTTCTCCGTTTTGGAACAATGCTGCATTACATCCCAGGAGCTTGGTGTCAGATGTCGTAAGTATAGTATACACCCTCCAAAACTAATCCTTTTATGTTAAATACTAGGTGCATGGATACAATACTAGTGTTCAGGGACCCTATCCACAAAACGTTCGTAGGTCTATGCCATTCGTAAGCCCGTGATAAAGTATTGGGTTACGATAGGTCGTAACATTACGAACTGTTTTTTTTGGATCAGCACTGCACCGTAAATATCAGGCCCCGATCTCTCGAAACAAACTTAAGTCTGAGTTTTGACTTAAGTTAGAGTTTTTACTCAAATTTGAGAAAATGCATTTCCCAGATTGAACTGAAATTGATATTAAACTCAAACATAAGAGACAATTTGGGTTTGGTGGATAGATTACTTGAGTTGTATGGGCCTGAATGTTCATTATGATGCTGTCTATGTGATGTGATATTTGAACTCACGTCTGTAGATGGCGCTCATGATGTCCATCACTAGATTGTCTGGTCCAGATCCGATCATATTCAAAACAGGATCAAGTAGCTGGAAACCTCTGAGTTAAACAAAACAAAACACAAATGTAATCAAAGTCAGTAAAAAGAGCAGAAAGTTCCCAGCTGACAAACCCGTGAAGATCCGGGTAAGAATTGATCTTCAGCAACTCATACTTGTCGTAAGAGGCGACAAACGGGACTTAGTTGACACGTCATCCTATCCAAATGCTCATGATGTTGATCACTGGATTGTCTGGTCCAGGCCGATTATTTACAGACCGCAACCATACAGCAGCAATATTGCTCAGTGCGGCGTCATGCACGTATCATTTTCAATGATGAGAAGAGAATTATTTATGCAACCAGATGCATGTATGTTAGAACGATAAGACGCACTTAACAAATGCGTTTACTGATGGGTCCCACTTCTTAGCTGGTATGTGTTGTGTTGATGCCAAAGTCAGCATATAAAGTCAGCTGTCGAATGACAAAACAGTGATGAATGTAATGAACTACCCGAACCAAGATGTCCATACTTTAACCAGCAACTTTAACCTGAAATTCCCAATACGAAGACAATGAGTATTTGCTAAGCATTAGAACACGAGGTTACTATTTTTCTGTGTTTGCCAGTGGACATTTCAATGTCTTTGACCGAAGAAGATCCGGGCTTGAATTGGTCTTCAGTAACCCATGCTTGTCGTAAGAGGCGACTAACGGGATCAGGCTCGCTGACTTGGTTGACACATGTCATTGTATCCCAATTGCGTAGATCAATGCTCATGTTATTGATCACTGGATTGTCTGGTCCAGACTCGATTATTTACAGACCGCCGCCATATAGCTGGAATATTGCTGAGTGCGGCGTAAAACTAAACTCAATCACTTCAATGTCTTTGATTCGTCACTTTCTCCTCTTCTTACAGCAACACTTGCAGGTTAGGAGTTCAACGCTGCTGAAGTGAACATCTCATCAACATACATGTACATATGTAAATACTTTTATCGTGTTTGACAGAAGCGGAACTTTTGTATATACAATACGTGTACCATGAGACAATAAACTTAGAAGCATAGAATGTGTTGTGTTTTTGTATCCAAGTACTGACTGACTGACTGACTGACTTTGGTTTTACGCCGCTTTACGCAATATTCCAGCAACATCACGGCGGGGGACACCAGAAATGGGCTTCACTCATTGTACCCATGTGGGGATTCGAATCCGGGTCTTCGGCGTGACGAGCCAACGCTTTAACCACTAGACTACCCCACCGCCCCGTATCCAAGTACAGGTAGTGGGGTAGTCTCCGCTCGTCACGGATTTGATTCTTCACATGGGTACAATGTGTGAAGCCCATTTCTCGTCTCCCTCGAGCGATATTGCTGGAATATTGCTAAAGGCGGCGTAAAACCATATTCACTCCAAATTTCAGAAGTGAATGCAAATGCAAGTTGAACTGTTTGGTATGTGCCGATGGTTATAAGTAAAATTTCCGTGCTTAGTGACTTCAATAATACTTTGCCGTTGGATCGCTTTAACCACACTGACCAACCGCTATTCTGTACATACAGAAGAGTTCATATCGATAACTTATATACTATTCACAAAAAAGAAACGCTTAGGCCAGAAATCTGTTGCTAAAATGTTGTATAACTCGTCCACAAATAGACTTTAGTGCATGAGTTTTTACATCAGTTTAGAAGAAGGTAATATCTATACAACCAAGTGGATAATTTTAGATAACGGAGACGTTGAGCGCGATGGTGACGACGTAGCACGGTCCCGACGTCTGGTCTCCTGGCAAATCTCTCTCAACCTGTTCCGCACAGTTTGATCGGATATCCTCCGAAGTCCAGGCACCCTGGATGCTGTGCTCTCATCCGTGGCAGTACAATCACGCAAATGTAGTACCCAGATGTACCGATCTTGGGCTGCAGTGGTGACTCGAAGTTTGCCTGTACGGGGACGGTCATTTGTTATACCTGTTTGGTTGTAACGAGCTGCAAGCCGCAATATCGTGCTCAGACTAACATTCAGACGCCTGGCGACTGAAGATTGCTAATCTCCAGCGTGCACTCTTTCAATGGTGATGTTCCTTGTCGCAGCGTCAAGACGTGGCGTAGTGGTTTGACCTTGAAACTCCTCCAAAACGAATGCCGATTTCCGAAAGTAATCTGGATTTTTATATCCAGACAGTGCATGCTCTTTGCTGCACAATTTCAACTGGAAGGTGATTTTTGTTGCGTTGTGGCGATGCGTTATTAATCCTTGTAAGAAATCTCATCAAAATCAACATTTTTAGGGAAAATCCACTATTTACTTGTGCAATTGTGTAAAATCATGTTATCAACACTTTTGTTGCATATTATGACAATTGTTTGAACACAATAGGTAATTGATAGATTTATAAAAATACAAATTGCCTGTGCGTTTCTTTTTTTGGATAGTATATATATATCTCCAACATGTTTCACTTTTATCTTCAGGGAGAAGTGATTACAGTTAAACGGATTATGTTATGACGTCACTTTGTCATGACGTCACAATGCAACTGTATACAAATGTTGTGACGCGGCGTTGCCATGACGTCACATTGGCGGCTTTAAATTGACAGTACTATAGTACTGTCGGAAATAGAAAAAAACTGTTTATAGGCTGTTACTGTGTATCCCTTAAATTTACACAATTGCAAATAGCATATGTCGAAATAACCCACTTCGGCCTAACTGGGCATTCAGTGGGATGCGTAATACGATATCCAGAAAAGCATGTTTACTCGTAAAATCGGGCAAAACTTAGAAAAAATACGAATAGCTGCTGAAAACAATATATCAGACTATAGATGGCAATTAGGTCGCTCAGCCAGGTATGAAGACGGACCGTCGACTCACCTGGCATGAAATGCACGTGCTGCCTAGAGGCACAAGGGGTCATCTCAAAGATATTTTGTGCTTTTTCATGTGTGTTGACTATGCCTCATCCATTGATAAACATTTTACGTGTCTTTCTTTCATATAGTTTAATCTAGTTTATGTTGAGATATGTAACAGAGAATGATACCCGAAAACCATAGAAACGCATCGTAGTATATAGGTGGCATGACCACCCGAAGATCGACAGGACTGGATATTATTTGTAAATTGTTATGACGTGCTGTGTACCTCCCCAGTATAATTGCCCTAAAGGATTATCTTATCTTAGCTAAAACCCTATCCCCAAGCCCGACCCCAGGTTTTGCTTTTGAGACGGCCCCTCCTATCTGTTTCTTTTTATAGTGACAGTGAGACTGCATGGCAGCTACATCCTTAATAGTTTCGGCATAAAAGTCATTATTTTTTACGCCAGCTATCGTTTATAATGAATCTGCGTCTAATTTCAAATTGGGCATTTAAAAAGTGTCTTTTGTAATACAATATTGTCGCACACTAATTTGCATAAAGCCATGGTCTGTTCCAAAAAAAGTCTTTTTGGACTTAGAAAAAACCCGCATTGCTCATTTCTGCACTAATTTCCCCTCAGTAAAGTCCTTTTTCTCCGTTTCCTATCTCTCTACCACCGAGAATGTAGTTAGGCCGAACTTAGTTTAACAGATATTTCACACTTTCACATATCAACTACATAAATTGTAGAGATAAATGAGAAAATACAGTTTTTTATCTATTTCCGACAGTACTATAGTAGCACAATGAAAACAAGTATAATTCAGACACATTGCGTTACCTATTTAACGATGGACACAATTCTTTAATGAAAACGTTTTCTTTAGCTTTACGCTGCATGGCGTCAGCAGTATTCATTTTATAGAAAGGGAATATTTTAAATTATATTTCCTTTCCTGCTGCGCATTTGTCGATGTGAGCGCTTAAGGGTATGCACCTTGTTTTGGGGTCCTTAATCTGTTGTTTATGGACGCGCATTCTGTCCCTCAAGCACTCCGTTTGTCCAATGTATTCGTCATGACACCCTTGGCATATAATAACATAAATAATATGTTTTGCGGAGCAGTCCATGTTAGAGCGTACATGAAATAATTGTTTCCTGTTTTTTTAACTTTATACATGAAGTTTCAAGTATATATTCACAAGTTCCACAATTTCCCCGTTTAAATTTTGAGACACTGAATTCTGTAGGTTTAATACATGAGTCGAATGTGACACGTGTCAATATGTGTTTTAAGTTACGGCTTTGGCGTTTACTCTTTATCATTGTTACATTATTAGCCATAATTCGATTCATTTTCATATCAGCATTTGAAATTGGAACATTTTGCCTTATGATATGAAAAAGTTCCGGATTCTTGGGATTGTGCGTTGAAACATAGGCCAGATTGACAGTGTTATTTATTTGTTTATCACGAACTTTCAACAGTGTCCTTCTGTCTGTGTTTATTGCTTTCTTTATTCCATCTTCCACAAGAAGAACTGGGTATCCACGGGACAGTAGATATGATTTTAGTTCTGCAAGTCGTATGTTCCTTGTCGGTATTTGTGACACAATCATGCAAATACGTCTTGCTAAATTATAGGGAATGCTTCTCTTTATATGACTCGGGTGGCAAGATGAAAAATGAAGGTATTGTTAGTATCTGTAGGTTTATATTATATATCTGTTTCTAGATTACGTCCACATAGTTTTACCATAATGTCCCAAAATGGAATTTCAGAATAATTTGAGTCCATGGTAAAATGTAAATGTTTGTTCATGTTATTTAGGATGTTATAAAAGAGAGTTAATTTTTCATCTCCAAAGGGCCATAACATGAAGCAATCGTCAAGAAAACGTCGCCAATTTGTTCTAAAGTATTCAGCGACTTCAGGTCCTAACTGTTCTTTCACTTTGGTTTCCAGAGTTCGTTCCAAATCCCCTAAAACTAACGTAGCATACGTGGGTGCCATTTTAGTTCCCATTGCTGAACCCTTTATTTGTCAATAATTTCCCCCATCAAAATAGAATGTATTATTATTCAATATGTATCTAACACTTTGTATGACGAATTCCTTGGAGAATCGTGTTGGGAGTAATGCTGGATATTCGTGTAACCAGAATGATATAGCTTCAATCCCTAAATTGTGTGGAATATTAGAGTATAAATTTTTGACATCAAAAGTAACGAGGTTTTTTTTTCTTGAGAACATTGAAAACAGAACACCCTAATGATTTGACACTTAGGCCGATAATTGCAGGACCAAGTTGTGCTACACATCGGTTGAGGAATTTTATTGACATAGTGCTTAAACCTTTTATTACCAAAGTGCACAGTTATACTAGAGATACGATGGATTTCCTAAACTAGTTACCTCAACAAACTCAAGAAAAAAAACAACTCAATCCATAGTTCCGCACAATTTCGTATCCACTAGGCTATCCCACCGCCCAGTGAATTGGTCCATACAGCAATTAATATGTGAGTGGAATTTGTAAGTGTAACAGTTAAAATGTTATCTTGTCGTACACGTGTTGAGTGGTATTGGCACTGCTTATCACTGTTAAAAAAGTGGATGCTAACATACATAAATAGGCTGGACATAAGAACTGGTTCTTAACAAGCAGCAAAATAACATGACTTTGGAACCGATTGTTGACTTTGTGAATAGGCTAGGATTTAGAAGTGGTTTCTAGCACTCAATGATTAGGCTGGTACTCAGAAGTGGATACTTGCACCCAATTAATGTGGTGTCCATGTGTGTGTAATATTACAGCCAAAGAAGCTTCACTTGTTAACATTTTCAGCCACCATTTCTCATAATTTTTTAATACACTACATCTTTTGCACCAGGATATTTTTATTTACATTTTCTGTAAAATGTAAAGAAATTCAAATAAAATATTATATCAATGTATCTCAATTTAATATAAATTTAACTAATCTTACAAACTGAGCATTTCCTAATCATGACCATTTTCTTGATACAGACAATGGCTCAGCACACGTAATATGAAAAATGTAAAGAAGTTCAAATAATATCATACCAATGTGTCTCACTTTAATACAAAATTCACGAATCTCACTAATTGAGCATTTTGTTGATACAGACTACATGTATATATGCTCATCTGGACATGCTTTATCAAAACACTAACCCTGGTCAGCCAGATCCCACTCTTGCTATGTGAGAGACCTGTTTTGACAGAATCTGGTTTAAACATATTTTTATTCCGTCAATAGAGAAACCTGGATAGGCGAACAAGCCAACTGGCTTATATAAACGCCGCTCCAGTACACGGTTCCAATATAGCTGGATACATATTTGAAATAGTCCGACAAGAAAAGAATACTACTGAAACAAAATTACACTCAGAAAAATGATTGAATAATAAATATTTGGTTATGGTGTTGGTTGTGCCTAGCAACGAAAAGAGCTGCCGCAGAAAATCAAGTTATATAAATCTTGTCTTGCGTTGAATATACATGTATATGTAGAGGTGATAATCACTGGAAGCGCTTACTTTTAGAAATGAACTGGTGTAATGAGTTGAGAATGTCACAATTTGTTGAGTTATCCAATGCGCCGTTACCGTATAAGGTAGTTTTCACATCGTATCCTTGAATATAAAAATACACCGTTGTTCTTAAATTTTGATAGTTCCTACATGTAAAAAGGTAGTGAATGACGTCTTCGTTATAATGAATCTGGCTGCGTGAGAGGACACCTCAGAAACTGGCAATAACCATCCAGACATGACCTTGCTAATTAGGGTGTTAATTATAATCTGATATTCGTTTAATGTAGTGGGATTAACTCCTGGCAAAGTGGGAGTAAATCAAGAATGCTGATCAAACAAGCATTGGATTACGATTGGGCGTTGTGTTCTCAATGCAGGTTTTAACATTTTCTAAACAAATATAAGTTCCTTCGTCGCGGGTGTCACTACAGAGTCACATTTTATATCAATACATGAAAAGATGAACATGCAGATTTCGCTTCAAGCCTTTTAAGAATCGCATTAAACTGCAGATTTGAACACTCTTCTTCTTGTTAGAAGAGGGTAATCCGGCTTATGTTGATGAGAGCACACCTAATGAGAAAACGAGCCAAATATACACATAAAGCTAGTGGGTTTTTTTTCGTCTCAGTTCACTTAGTATACATACATTAAATTATAAAACACATAAAATATATAGAAGGCGTAAGCCACGAGTGGTAAGGGGAGACTACATAGACAGATTATATTTATACATGTTACAACATGCTACATTTTACAGGAATTATAACTAGTGATATTGGTTTATTCCCGATTCTGACAGTCCCAAATTTGACAGTGAAATTTCACACTTCTGTAATTAATCTCGCCAGTTGTCCCAATATTGACAGTGAGCTTACCGGTCGTCGCAATTTCAAGTCCACGGCTCATTAATTAATTAATTAATCCCTCATTAGCCAGTGGTTGTGGGAGCTACTGTCACAGAAGCTTCGGATAGTCAATCAATGTTTTTGATAAGATTAAAACAGAAAAGACTAGAACTAAAATAGTCTATTCTTGAAAGTCAATAACTTCAAAGTCAATCACTGAGCAACACCTTCAGCCAGCACACTGCCACAGAGAGAAAGATATGACGCCATAACGCCATGTCATGTATTCCAAACCAAGTTGGTACAAAGTTGCTGAAGCATTTTCAACACGACGTCTCTTCATCTGTTTCTGCCCAACAATCACGCCAAACAATAACTAGGCCCTTGTTTTATCACCCCCAAACAGTATCAGTGTTCAGGAATGTTACTTGTTCTGTACTTCTCTCAGCATATTGCATTCACATAATTACCCTTAAATGGTACAGCTAGTTATCCAAGTTTTGAGAGCGAAACTTCACACTTTAATGGATCAGTGACCAAGACGCTGTCAAAAATCGGACACTACCGTTATATTACATAATATTACGAACTGTTACAAATATTACAAAATTTTAAATATACATACACATTTATACAAGTACATTATAAATTCATTAAAGATGTATAAGAAGAGACGCTGAATCAGGAAACTGTCTAACAGATAATATTCCACTTTGAAACTGGTGTCTCAGTTGTTGAAGACGACGTTCCAGGTATCGGTATTTCTTCTTCTTCGTGGGTTGTCTTTGACCTTCAGCATATTGCACCAACGAGATGTAGAAATAAACATATGTTCAAGTTGAGCGTTGAGCATTAGCCATTTCGAAATCCAAAGTACACTTTCATGCTTCTCATAATATGTAGTTCAATATGGTCATCATTATGATTGTTTTGATCATGTTTTGACATGTTCAGCTTCCGTGTGCGATGTGTTCACTTCCATCAACCACCAGCCTTGTAATAACACGTCACATGGGATTAGCCATGTGCTAAATAACACCCAAACTTCAAAGCGTACCGCTTGTCGACGTCCTGAGCCTTATAAAAATCGAATGGTCGGCTTCCTGAGCTGACACCTTCTCAAACTATTGTCATATAAGTGGTAATAATTCATGAGCATTAGAGATCAGATTGGCTTGCTTATTATATCTGAAATCGACCAAACATTGCCTAGTTGCCTATGGCAGGATCGTCACTATTTCATAGTTATTCCAAAGCGCATGTTTATAATGTAATTAGGATTTTACAATGGAATCTGAATTTAGATTTCCTAAACGCTTAACAGGTAATGATCATTATGTAGACACAGTTTGTCCATAACAACTTCATTTCGACATTAGTTACTATATTGAAAGAAAAACAAGATATATGGATGTTAACTTCTTTGTTGTGAATAACACGACGTTTCGGGGTGTATGCTGCTCCTTCATCACGCGATACTGTGGGGAATCGAACCCGGGCCTTTGGCGTGACGAGCGAATGCTTTAACCACTAGGCTACCCTACCGCCCTTATCACGCAATAGCAATATGATGACATGTGTCAACCAAACCTGCCCAAACTGATCCCGTTAGTTACCAGTTAACTATGATTTTTGAAGCGGTATGAAACTGCATTTTCAAAAGATTCCCAATAAAACGTTAATACGAAATATCTGCATGTGTTTAGATCACATATCTTAAGATACGTCATACTAAATAACGATATCTTCGAATGTGTATAATTTGTGTCGATACAGTACAGAAATAGTTTTCATGCATAAGTGGACATGGTAAATCTCTATTTAATGGTTCGAGTCGAATAATACATTTTCGTTGTTTAAAAAAAAGCTTATTCATAGACCCCGAGGGTGAATGTTATCATCCAAACAACCACTAACGTGAAAAGATAGAGTAATAGAGCGTAAACCTCCTGATAAGGGTTTCACGAGTGGTTTGACGCATGTAAATGTTTGGTAACTGCTTCCCACTATCGATTGCCCAAACCACTTGACGTTTTGCAGGTAGGGAGGGTGTCAAACCATTTCATCCTTTGGCGTGACTTTCCTGACATTTTATTCTATAATCAAAACACGTG